GATATGGAATGGTTAATCAATAGTGCATGATCCTTGCACATGACATGTAGGTATCAATTTCTAGTGACTTCCAGGAGTCATGGAACCATGTTTCTGATGTGTTTTAAGCAAAAGATACATTCTTATGTGTGCATGCAACCCTAAATTGATTGGATCTAAGTTTTCTCTATTGAACATGCTAACTTGAACAACAAAGAAGATACCCTAGGTTCTATGTATTATAATCGAAATTCATATAAAAAAGATTAAAAACATACCTTGATTGTTATATTGTAATAACAATCTAAAAACCTTGCTTGAAAGACCTTCGGTAGCAAGTGCCACAAGTGTCACGCCTCTAATGGCTCACAAATAAACCAAGCAACCAAGGAATACTTTAGAGAGAGAGAGAGAAAGAGAGAAGGGTAGGTCAAAATTTCGGCCAAGAGCTCTTAGAATCAAGGGTTAGCCGAAATTTAACCTTTAGTAGGGTTTATATAGGTGTTAGGAAGGTATTGGATAAGGCATGTGTATCCAAGATAACCCTAATCTCTTAACTTCCTCCCTAAGGCATCCAATGCACCCTTAAAACCCAAGGAAACCCTAGGAACATCCTAGAATTTGTCCCCCCCCCCCTAGGGAGGCTCTATAATGCCTAATGATCAACTATTGAACATTGTCATCTTTAGTCCCTACAGTTTCAATTAATTCATTTAATCCCAAAATTTAATTCCAAAGTAATTTTTGATTAAATATTAATTAAAAAAATATGATTTCTAATTAATATATTATTTCCATAATACATTAATAAATCATTTATTCTGATTTCTAATTAATTTATTAACCAAGTAATAAATTAATAAATCATTCTTCTCTCTCTAACAATTATTCTATTCAATTGTCAGGTTTGAAGGCAACCCAAAAGGACATTGCTTTGGATCAATCATATGGTACACATGAAAACCCTAAAGCTTTGGATCTAGGTTTCTCTAACTGTACATGCAAATCATCCGCTTGCAAACCCTATCTCTAGCATACAAAACTCGAAAATCATAACTAAAACAAAGTTAGGAAATTACCTTTCAATTGTAGCTTGAAGATCCTTGAGCTTTTGAGAACCTAACACCTCAAATGCGATGCCTCTAATAGATCAAACACACCAAAAAAATTGGAGAATGTTAGAGAGAGAGAGAGAGAGGAGGCTAAAATCGACTCTGGGAATCCTTCTAGGGTTTTTGGTAGCTGAATTCTAGTGCCCTAAGGTTCCTTATATAGCTACAGAGTTAAGGTTTCAGTCAAACACCTAATTTGGTTACTTAATCCCTAAGCAGCCCATTAGATCCTTCCGGAATCCCTAGCTTGGATGATTTTTATATGGGCTCCCATATAAAATCGCCAATCCCTTTCTTAAGGGATCCACAACCCATATTGCAACTATCTTATAATTATAATATCAGTCCCCCAAAGTTTAATTAACATCTTTTGACCACAAAATTAATTCTAAATTAATTCTTGACCAATATTAATTAAACAATATGACTTCTCTTTTAATATATTATTCACATAATATATTAATAAACCACAATTATCCTCTTTCTCCTTTATTCATCCACTCAAGTTGTTTTGATGAAGGCAACCAAAAAGGACCATACTACAATCGGGTCAAGTACATAACAAATATAGTTATGGACTTAGACACCTAATCCAACACCAACGTCCAATTAGAGTTTGAAATTGTCTTTGGAAAACACTTTTTACTGGTTATTCGGAGTTGTACTTGTAATTCTAGTTAGCGACTTATCCAAACGGAAGAATGTTGGATTAAGGTGGCTATGGTCCTAACTAAATTTGTATAGTTTTGATGAATAAAAGTAAAATCCTTTTTGAGTTGCCCTCATAACTAGAAAATGACTCGGACTGATTAAATGAGAGAGATAAATAATTAGTTAATTTATTATGTAATTAATAAATTAATTAGAAATAGTTAATAATTAATTATGACTTAATTAGAAATAGTAAAAAATGATTAATTATTAATCAGAATTAATATGGGATTAAGTGAAACTAATTAATGGTGCAAGTGATGAATTGTAATTGTTCAATAGTTGAACAAAAGAAGCAATTCTCTAACCTCCATGAGTATGGATGGTTTTAAGGAGTTTCTAAGGGTTTCTAAAAGGCTCATGGTCGCAGATACAAAAGGATTTGAACTGAGATTAAATCTATTATTTAATTATTCAAATGCGGATTCATCTGCAAGTTACCTAGACTATAAATAGAACCATTTGGCATCTAATTTCAGTGGCTTCTCATACCTAGAAGGTAGAGAATGAAATTCTCTTCCTTTCTATTCTCTCCCCTTTCTCCTTCAATCCTAGGGTTTCCTGAGTTTTTGGTGCGAACCATTAGAGGCGGTCATACTTTTGGAGGTAGTTTTTCAAGGAGACTACAAAGAGTAATTGATTAGCTTGTTTAGAATCAAGCAAGAGGTATGTGGTTCTATTTATGAATTTGATTCATAGGGTTTATAGTTTTTGTTTCATAAGTATGTTGTTATTACTTAAGAAAAGACATAGATCCAATTTCAATTGCATGTACCCTTAAGAGATAAGCGAAATTTTGCATGTACAAATTGATTATAACCTAAAACCCCCAACACTAGTACCCTCCCGAACTTCTCCGCGATTATCAAAAAAACAATTGGATCCCAACAGTTGACTGGTGACACCTTATGATTTTGAATGAAGGAAGCATCCCATTTTCTATGCATGGAAATCACTTTGATTAATTTATCTCTATGATGTAGCATGAGCGATTCTACCTCCAACCAACTATCGAATTTTAATAAACATTCAATCCTACGATGTTTTTAATAGAACAATTACCAATTCCAGAAGATTGAAAGACAGAGAAGCATTTGGAAAGCATCTCTAAATTTTTTATTTCACCCACGAGACAGCTACCCAACCAGGCGTATGACCGCAACTGCAACGAACCAGGAATAATTACTTTCTCAGGTTGTTTAATTTTCGATTCCTCCTGAGAAAACCTTGAATTTAAGACGGCCTCCTTGAATGATATATTCGATACCCCTTCCCTAAGTGAGCAATTCAAAGAAGCTTTATTACACCTCGTATCGCCGGTATATGCGGGGTCTATGTGACTCGATTGCATCAAAATCTTATTTCTTTTAAATATCGCCACATTTGCATGAAGTTTCTTTCCTTCGAAAGACATCGTGTTCATTCTCGATTCAAGCTCCCGTAAGTTCCCCACCTTTATGAATCTATTGAAACCAAAACTCACTCTCAAATGATTTATCTTCCCACAGCCTTGTTGAGATTTACACAATCTTCCACTATTCCATCCATCCGGAAAATTGGATACAAAGAAGGTAGTTGCAACACTTTTGAAGCCATCTAAATCATTGCATCTGGCTTATCAAGTTTTTTTCTTCTTCTTTCCACTCTCACCCATCCATCTCCAACATGACCCATCCGTGCTACCAGGATTTGACTCTTTATCTACTAAAATCGTAAGACTTTATCTAACACGCATTGGATTACGGCTATAATCATGGCTAACATTTAATTCCGTCAGAGTGCATTTTTTTAATGCATGACGTTTCTGCTTCAAAAGAAATATGATCAATTTTATCAAAAAATTTCTTTTATCCAATTTTCAAAATCTTTTAAAATAAGAGATATACAAGTTCAATTTATGATCCGATTGCTAAAAGAAACCCCATAAAACACAATTCAATAGTTTTAACAATTTCATAAAAGAGTTAGTTTTAGAATATTTGTGTGGCCTATTCATCACGCAATTTTCGGGACATTTTGGAGACCGGAGATTTCATTCAATGTGATCGACAACACCAACATTTTTGTGTTTTGTATCTCTGTCACCGGAATTTTTTAAATCATGAAGAACCGCCCACCCATCACTGACCGGAGACTCTACCTCTTGTTATCCGCCGTTGCTATTATAGCCGGCAGCCTTCTCCTCTCGACTTTCAACGGCGGTGGTGAAATCCCTCTGTTCTGCAGTGAATCTATCTCCGACGAATTCTTCCCCTCAACCACCACACCATTGCAACTCGACGCCATTCTCCACTACGCCACTTCTCAGGTCGTCCCACAACAATCGTTAGAAGAGATCACCGTCTCCTTCGACGTTCTTCAAGCGATTTCGCCCTGTAATTTTCTCGTTTTCGGACTCGGTCACGATTCCCTGATGTGGGCGTCATTCAATCCTCTCGGCAAAACCCTATTCCTGGAAGAAGACCCGACATGGGTCCGGAGTGTCCTGAAAACCACACCAGATCTGAACGCAGTCACCGTCAATTACCGGACGAAACAAGCCGACGCCTTCGAGCTCCTGAATTGGTATCAATCCGAACCGGAATGTGCCCCATCCAAAAGTTATATTCGGGGAAACACGAAGTGCAAGTTAGCAATCACGGGTCTACCTGATCATGTCTACGATCAAGAATGGGATATGATAATGATCGATGCGCCCAGGGGTTATTACAATGAGGCGCCGGGAAGGATGGGGGCGATTTACACGGCTGCTGTGATGGGGAGAAATCGGAAAAAATCAGGGGTGACACATGTTTTTTTGCATGATGTGAATCGGAAAACTGAGAAAGCTTATGCGGAAGAGTTTTTGTGTCGGAGGAATTTGAAGAAGAGCGTCGGAAGATTGTGGCATTTTGAGATACCGCCGGCTGCAAATGTTACCGATCAGAATGCTAAGTTTTGCTAGTAATCACGGCTGATTGTGTATCTTGATCACGAATAAACGATCAAAATCTACTATATTCATGGGTCAAACTTCATGAAGTTCACCGCAGGTGATTAGCCATGATGAAATTTAGCCAAATGACATAACTAAACAAAATTAACGACTTTAATGGTGTAAGGCGCATGATTAGAAGTTCAATAATTAAACTAGAATATTCGATTGTTACTTAGGGAAAAAATACATAAAAGAGCTACTATAGATTGGCCATTTTTATGGGTTAACTTTCTTTTTCATTAATGAAAGCCACAACATTTTGAGAATATTTTCCATATCGACCAGTTTGACATGGCTAGGAGGTTAAACTGTTTACCAATGAAAATTTTGTCAAAACTTAGCGGCTCAAAATTTTCATTGCGACCCCTTTAACATGTTATAGTTAGTTAGTTATAACAGGTCACAGTACATCAAAATATGTTTGAAGCATTTGAGCACAACTATTTAGGCAGAGAGTAAAATAACTGAAATTACCACCAGATTTATACATAAGCTATTGTGGGAACAGGAACAAGGAAAAGTTAAATAACGGAACATTATCTAAATCAGAATTAACAACTGAGAAGACTTGACTTGATAAACAAGGTAATTTACTAATAACCCTTGAATTACCATATCAGGTTTTGGCTAAAAACGGATCCGGGTTCTAATCTTTTATGCAGATTTCCAAAAAAAAGCCCCTTGACCAATGCAGTCAAAGTGTAGTGTTTGACTTTCCATGCATATGTAATATAGAGGCTACAGAAAGTATTTCATTCGATCATCTCTCCTCATGGCATTATAAACAGCTTGAACCTGTAGTCATAAAATTTCCACCACAAAATTACTTGAATATTTCAAAATTCGAATTTTATTAAGATGAATGATGAGAGAGAAAGACCTGCTCGCTAGAAACAACTTGAACAGGTCCAATGTTGACCGAGACATACTTGCCACCAGATGACATTTTCTGCTTCACCTGCCCCTGTTATACAAACATACATACATATATTATATATATAAATCATGATATAACTTTTCCACTTTACTTTCATCACTATACTGTGTTTGAGTGTGTGTGTGTGTGTGTGTAAAGAAAATGTGTACCAGTGGGATTGGATGCTGAAGGACAGACTCGACAGCAACTACCATTGCTTGGACAAAATCATCACCTCCGGTTCCAATTGCTGTAAACCCTCTTACTGTTGGGTAAGTGTTTACCTTTTTGAAAATAAAATATTTCTTAAAAAAAAAAAAAATTAAATAAATAAAATACTGTGGGGTGGGGGTTCAAATTTCAATATAACAAGTGAATGTAGTTGAAGAAAAAGAAAAAGGTAGGAGAAGGTAGGGGGTAGGATCTACCTTCTGATCAAGAGTGAGCCACTCGTCTGTTGAATCATCAGTGACCGTACCTCCAAGAACCATGTTTGTGGTTTGTCCAACTCTACCTTCGGTCTTTGAAACTTCTGAATCAAATTCACACAAACTCAAACCAAAGATCATAAATCATAAATTATTAATACTAAATGACTTAACATAAGAGGTTTCTTCAGAAATAAGTGTCCCATTTGCTACCAAATCAATCAATCTCAAATCTAGCAATCACATTTGTCTTTGGGTTTGGATGTGCGTTAAAACAATCATTGAGAAACGTTTAGCATCTTAGAGGATGTATATCTTTGTCATCGAAAAATAAACACATAATGTAAAATCAGTGTTATGATCCGGCATTTTTCAACAGGCAGTGGTATTCTGGATCAGAATTGCACCAGCAAATCTGTCAATCCATTACTCATAACCACTAAAATACCAAAATCTTTCAAACTCCTCAATATCCATTATATTTCGAAAGCATAATAAAAACCCTTCATTTGCAAACTTTTATCTCCATAATCTTTCATCTCAAATCGAAAATTTCGGACAATATAGTGTATGAAACTCAAATGAAATTTGAAATCAGATATACATGTTAGTACCTGAAATAGCCTTGAGAACGGCTTCTTGAGGAGGTTCCTGGTCACTCTCAGTAGACGATGACGGAAGGTTCTCGTCATGAGAGCAATTAACCCGGTGATGTATTCGTCTTTCAGCACTTATATCTCCAACTTGTGTAACGATTCTACATCCACATCTCGAATTCGAAGTTGGTTTTCTGGATTTCTGATTGGCTAAGGATAACGTAAATGAGGTACGATTAGGGGAAGTTCGCCATGGCTCCGTGAGCATCACAGTTCGAAATAGTGCTCTGCACGCCATCGTCATGGATTCCTTCTCCTCGCAATCTGAAACGCGGCTGATTCAAATATTTCCACACAGGTTATGCGAATGGAAAAGAGAATTTGGAAGAATTTTGGTTTGGTTTCGTGTAGAGCCGAGCGGTGATTTGAGTGCTACTTCTCCCCCTGATAATAGCCAGTGAAGGGCAAGGTCTATCAGCTGTTACGAAAGACAAAAATACCCCTGTCATTTCGTTTCAATACGGCGTCATATGATTTAATGAAAAGTTATCAACCAAAGAACATATTTTTCGGGGAAGATTCGTCAGATAACCAAAAAAGAGGGTGGCGTTAAAAAATATGACTATTAAAACCGGATCTTCATAAAATGACCAAGGATTCAACGTGAAGGTCTACGTGGAAAATCTTCTACTCTCACGAATTGAACACTTGTACAAAAAAGACAAAAACTGACATATGACGAGATGGTTCTGCAGAGTAGGTCTTTACGGAAATAGTTGGACTTTGCGGAAGTTTAGTATTATGCGAAAATGGAATTTAAAAAAAAAACAATTCCATGAATATTCTCGATTAAAAAAAAAGGCACATTTCCTCATTAAGCACTAAGGATCCGCAGAGCAGTCCTCTACGAATCTGTTCTCCAGAGATGTGCCTCTGAGGAATTGATCTTCGCTGAACAATGCTTAATAAGAGTTTTTGTAGGTGTTCAAGTTGCCATGTAGGATTCCGATCAACTAGGATTTCGTTTCTTTCGCAACAAAGTCGTTTCTTCCTCAACAAACCCCTTTGAATCCGCAATCCCTTTTCATTTTTTATATTTTATTTGTGTGGTTTTACAATTTTACCTCTGCCACGTCAATTTCTCAAAGCGTTTAGGCTTGCGCAGGTCTTAATCGATTTCCACATATTGATGGGTTTTACATGCAATAACACGGATAAATCCTTAACATTTAAGGGTACGTACAACCTACTAGATCTATGTCATAATACTATTGAAGTAACATTATATTGAACAACAAGAACACTATGAATCCTAGATATTTTCGAAATTGACAAATAAGTTAGGAATTACATACCTTTTGATTGTTGTAGTAAAAAATCAAACCTATCATACTTGAAATACTCTTGGAAGCAAGCATCACAACTATCGTGTCTCTGATGGTTGATACTCTAACCCTAACAATCAAGGAAACTTGAAGAGAGAGGATAGAAGAGACAAAATTTTGGCTATACTCTTAAGTCCCCTGGCCGAAATTTAGAGGCTATGAGACCCTATTTATAACTAACCAAGAAACTCTAGATAACTCTTACTTGATTAAAATAATAAACCAAAGGGCTTTTAGCCCAACGATATCTGATGTTGCCCTCCCTCCTTGAGGTTGAGAGTTCAAGTCTCGTCGTGGACATAGATAGATTTAAGGAGTAGTTGAGAAGTATGTTTGAAACATCCCAAAAATACAAGCCTAAAATTTCGTTTGAAAACATTACCAAAACCATAATATCCAATATCATATAAGAAAAACATAAGTCGTGTGTCTCAAAATGTCATAAATATGTCTCATATCAACAGCTGTCAAGTTCATGTCAAAATATCGGAGTCTAACTCCCAGGCTAAAACTGAGGTGTGTGCCATGTCATCAACCCGAGCCCTTCCCCTTGCTAGCTGAAGTACCTGAAACCAAAACTGAAATTGTAAGCACGAAGCTTAGTGAGCTCCCTTAAGCTACCACATACCATGCAATAACATATAAAGCACATACTGGGCCTTGCCCACTGCATCAGACTGAAGTCTGGAACTGACTAGGGCATCACCCTCTGTATCGGACTGGAGTCTGGAACTGACTAGGGCCTAGCTCACTGCATCGGATCGAAGTCCGGAACTAACTAGGGCCTTGCCCACTGCATGAGTTAAGTTCCTTTCTAGCTTGGTTTTCGGTATTACGAGATAAGAAGCACGTAAAGGTAGCAACTTTATGTTGCTAATGGACTCTAGGAACCCATATCTATTGTTTGGAGCAAAGGAGTAGCTCTGTGACTCGAGATTATGAGAATACACGAAAGGACTCAACGAGTCTGGGAGATGAATTGGCGAGTCGGGCTAGATACTAGACTTAAATTGCGTAGTAACTCAGTGAGTCACATGGGTGAACTCGGCGAGTTGGATGAAGATAGGCAGGAACTCGACGAGTTGGAAGAACAACTCGGCGAGTCTGTTGAAGATTGCCTTAGACTCGGCGAGTCAGGTCGCGAACCTCCAAACCCTTCTAGTTAAGACTCGGATCAGTGAGTTGAGTGGAGACTCGGTGAGTTGAGTCGCGTTCTAAGAATTTTCAGAGTGCAAGGACTCAACGAGTCAACGAGCTGACTCGACGAGTAGAGTCAGTCTCGATGGTTAACTTTGACTAGAGTTGACTTATTTTGTCTGTTGAAGGATAGTTTGGGACTAAGTGTTATATTTGGTATTAGTAGATCACGGAGTTTTTGGAGCAGCAGTTCGAGAGTTGTCTGATAGCAGTCAGAAGGGTATCAGCAAGAACTTCAGCGGTGCAGGTGAGTTTCCTTCCAGTAGAAACGGGTCTAAGGCCACAATGCCGACCCGTTTAGCTAGCAGTAGTTTCTGGACTTCGGTCCGATGCAGTAGTTAGTATGTTTGATGCCTTCGTGGATCAGACAGGATTTATGTGTTATGTGTTCCGGACTACGACCCGATGCAGTATGCAGTATATGTGCTTATGCTAGTTGATATGTTTATGCTATGTTAGGTTATGCTCTGTCAGTTTCCGGACTTCGGTCCGATGCAGGGGACAAGGTCCCAGTCAGTTCCGGATTTCGGTCCGATGCAGTTAGTTCCGGACTTCGGTCTGATGCAGGGGACAAGGTCCTAGTCAGTTTTGGATTTCGGTCTGATGCAGTTAGTTCCGGACTTCAGTCCGATGCAGGGGACAAGGTCCCAGTCAGTTCCGGACTTTAGTCCGATGCAGTTTCTGAACTTCGGTCTGATGCAGAGGGCAAGGCCCTAGTTAGTTCCGAACTTTAGTCCGATGCAGTTTCCGGATTTCGGTTCGATGCAGTGGGCAAGGCCCAGTATGTGATTTATATGTTATTGTATGGTATGTGGTAGTTTGGGGGAGCTCACTAAGCTTCGTTCTTACGGTTTCAGTTTTTGGTTTCAGGTACTCAGTTTTCAAAAGAGGAGCTCGGAGAGGTTGCAGTGCACACACCATAGTCAGTTAGTTTGGGAATGTTTTACTCTGATAATAAGATTATGTTTTGAATTAATACTCGGAAATTATGTTATGACTATGATACAGTTTTTATAAATATGGTTTTAGTAATGTTTTAAAAGAAATTTTTAGTCGTGATTTTTGGGTCGTTTCAAGTTGGTATCAGAGCCTTGGTTTGAGGGATTCGGATACACTTCCGGGTGTGTCTGGACTCAAACTAAGGAAACGGTAAAAGGTTTAAAAAAAAACATTTTCGAAAAGAATTTTGTAAAAAGGGAGTTTTGAGAAAAGAAAAGAGTTTTAGAAAAAGCGAAAAGAAATTTTAGAAAGAAAAGAATTTTGAAAAGAGAAAAAAGGGTGTGGTGCATGCAATCAATCGAGCTCAAGTAAGTACTCCCAATTACCCATACCAGTTTATGATATGATTAGCAGGATCGGTTTCAGTTCCAGTTTCAGTTTCAGTTACAGTAGAACAACATGCTAGTATAGGACTAAGGATCTAGGAGGATGCCTTATGAACCTGCTTTATGTGTTTCAAATTTATGAGAATCGCATGCTAGTATTGAGTAGACAGTAGTAGGATAGCCTGTTTAGGTTATGCATGATAGTATGAGTTTCGCATTGTATGCTAGTGTAGATTCTTGGTTATGGGAATAGATTTGCCTGAGTTAGTTTCCTTCTTGTCTGAATACTGCTTGCTTTGTGCTTTGTGGGACTCTGAGTGTTGGGAGTTAGCCATTAGGTGAATACATCATGTCACATGTGATCAGGGTTGAATAATTTCAGAGTGATGGATTGGGCCCTACTGTCCAGCTCTTGTCTGAGTCTAACCGTTGTAGGGATGAATCCCTTACTCGAAGGATTATCCGAGCCTTGTTACATGTTATGGTATTCAGGTGATGGCTAATTGGCATTACAAGGAGACCTTCAGTAGCTGAGGACTATTGGTTGAGTCAAAGGTTTCCCTAGGGCAATCCTACGAAGGTAGTAGCACAGATCACTAACAGTATAGAAAAGGGACTTGATGGAGTTGAGGTAACTCTTGAGGAAAGTACGAATATATGTGGAAGGTGGTATGGGCTCGTACTATTGAAAGCATAGGATCTGTACTCGATTCAAGAGATGCCGAGGCAAAACCAGGGAACTAGTAGAGTGTGTGAGAGATCCCTCAGCAGCGATGTGTATTGATCAGTAATGTGTTATGTTTCCAGCATGGTGACGTTGCGTGAGATACCTGTTAGCAGTTTAGGTACCAGGGAGGAATCTGGCTCAGGTTGTAGAGTCGGGCAGCTTGATGATCAGATGAGGGATTTCATTTCTGCATAGATTGTGCGCAACATCATTGATCAGACTCTAGTGATTTTTGGTTCGGTTAGAGAGGCCATCATGGAGCTCATGGACAGTTATCGTCAAGCCTTTAGGGCCGGGATAGTTTCAGGACAGTTTGGGGCTCGTCTAGAGCCCGATTCTTATGGAGTTCGGGGATCCATCAGAGAGGAGGATTCCCTTTCTGGCTTTTGTCATCAGGGGTCAGGAGTGAGTGGGGCACCCAGTCTCCAGGAGAGACCCTTGCATGATTGGGTAGTTAATGAGGTTTCGCTAGTCATTCGAGAGGAGTCACCGAACATCATTGAGCGGGTCACTGGTCGGTTGACCGCTAAGTTCCAGGGATAGCCAGTTGATGTTTATACGGTTGATGGAGCAGTCGGGGTCACTCGAGAGCAATAGATTGGTTTGGATGGGCAACTCGGAAAAAGGAAGCGGGCACGTGTTGTAGGTAGATTGGGAAGAAGTGTGGAGTCTTACTCAGCTGACTTGGGCGCTGGAGGTCAGGATGACCTAGAGGTGTGTGGTAAGTGTGGAGGGACTCATGGGTTTGCTTGTCACAAGTTCAGGTGTTTCAAGTGCAGGGAAAGGGTGCATGTGTATCGGGATTGTAAGCAGGATCAGAGATTTTTTCATTGTCACCAGTCGGGTCATTTCAAGTCTCGATGTCCCGTCTTGGTGGTAGAGAGAGTTCAGGGTCAGGCGCCCATCGTTTCGCAGAAAGTCAAGATCAAGCT